AGCACATCCAGGCAGGGAAGCGGAGCAGAGGTGCCCCAGCGTACACGGCAGACGGGTCAGCGGTGATCGAGTTTAACCTTCTTGAAGAACGAATGAAAAAAAGGGAGAGACTGAAGCAAGTTATGAAATGTAATACTCTTATACTTAAATTGATGAGGCATTCCCAAAATCAAGATGTTAGGATTGGTAAAAGGAGCTGCAAGGCTTAATGTTGAGATTATTTTTTACGTGAAATATGTTGCTCACGGGAGTCCCAGCTTGCAGGGAACTCCTGGCTCCCAGGCATCTCCCTCAGTACAAAGTGAAATATTCCACTTTGGATCTACAACAGACCAAAACCAACTTTCATTTCTCTAAAAAGAAAAAAAATTTTCTGTAGGAATATTTGTTTTGTGAAAAACTTCACATTTTACAGGTTGTATTCTTACCAAAAAAACCAACTGGTTTACCAATGAAGAAAAAAGTTACTGGTCTCTAGCCTGAGCTCTTCTACACTGGAATACCCTTAAAATTATTTTTTAAAAGGAGAAAAAAAAAGCAGCTTATTCAAAATAGTCCATCTCACAAGGAAAGCATAATCACCCAGAACTCTGCTCTCCTGAATCCGGTATCCACACTGTGCTCACAAACTGTTGCTAGCAGTTAACACTGCCAGCAAGCTCTCTTTTTCAGTAAGTCTGCACTGCGCATCAACCTCATTGCCCAAGATTTACATGGAAACACTACGCCAATAGTAAAATCTTTGCTGGCATGAAGTAGATGAATTCCATGCAAGTGCTTATGTAGATAATTACGTGAAAACAAGAAAGCGAAAATCCAAATCCCTGGAATTCTTTCATGAAGAGTTTAATTTATATATGAATAATGAATTTATACTGTACTAACACTCACATAACACAGTCATGGCTGAAGAGCTATCAAATTGCCTTATGGAAACCAAACGCTGTGACACCATGTAGTGTTCTTGGGGCTTACAAAGAAGTCTAACTAACAGGATGGTTCAGAGAAGGCCACATTACTAAATCCGTAGTTTGAAAAGAAAATCACCTCTGAAAAGCTAAAAATATTCAGTAAGGAAAATGATGCTTTAAGAAAAGTTCATCATAAATTACATCCAACTAGAAAAAAAATGTATCACCATAAACAGTAGAGCTTGTGAATGACAATGATGCTAAAACCAAGCAGTGCTGAATGTGTCAGTTGAGAAATCAGGATTTCAAACTGATCATCCAAAAAATCATATGATTTTTAAATACTTGTATCAAAGGACCATTTTCATCAGCTTAACAAGTCTGCCTTATACCATCACCTAGGAAATATGTTTTTAAGTCTTTGAAAGTCTGGAATTATTGTGCATTATAAGATCATCACATGCTTTAGAAACTAATTTAAATAAAATACTGAAAACTCTATTTTGAGAAAGACAGTTTATTAACTTAAAGTGTCTATGATGTCTTCTTTTTAAGAAGAGATCAAAACCACTGCCAGTTATGGAAGGAGGACTATAGTTCATGACTGAACTGGCACATCCACATTAAGACCAAAGATAGTATGGCTTTTGCTAAATAACTAACCGGCCTACCAGCATTCGGTGAGTTTATCACAACTAAAATATTACTGTTTTAAGATGGGCATGGCGCTGGTGGAAGCTGGTTGATAAACCATCACAATAACTAGGATAGTGACCATAAACATATTTGTTTTATGGGTGTGAGCATACTGGGGAGGTAAGGATTCAGAGATGTATCTGTATTATTTTTTAACACCGCTATACATTTATTTGGGTGTTTAATCCCATATGACTTCTTGCTGAAGTGTTTCGAAGTTCTGTACCAGATTGTGTGGGCTACGACTGGGATACACCACTACTGCAGGTTTGTCCTGGGGGCTCTGGTTTATCCCTCCTCTTCTCCACTCACAGTTTTCAGCACACACAGGAGTACCCCTCATCCTCCCTCCTCTTCCAAACAAAAAAATTCTCACCTTTTCACAGTCCCCCAGTGAAAGTCACGGTTCTCAAACACCCCAATTAGGGCGAAAAATAAAAATAAAGACTTGCCAAGATTCACTGTAAACAGATGACCTGGCCACTTTGCTTTTACAACTGCCACCAGAAACGTTGCTCTTTTACAGCAAATCCCTCAAAGCACCAGGCATGTCCCTTAAATACAACCAGTCATTTTCCTAAGGGATTCTACAAAGAAGATGTCACTGTCACTCTTTGTCATAGGGCTCATCTCACAGCAATCCAGCATAACAGGGACAGGTATAAGCAGGATAAGGAACTTGGATGCTATGGTTTGCTTTCGTAAACACTGGACTTTGAAAAACTTATTAAAAATCCCTTATTATTAAATTATTTCTTAAACAGCAAAGCAGCAAGGCAGGCCAAACATGAACAGAATAAACCCTGCAGCACTGTGCAGGAACAGGAGAGACTGGCAGAGAGGAGGAGGTGGTTAGTCTACAAGCCAGATAATTAACTGTGTATTTGAATGGTAGTTTGCAGGTGCACAAAGATGAATGAAAATGTCGCAACTGGAAATTAATTTTAAAAGAAACACCACCTAAAACCTAACCTGGCACCCGACGCAATGTGTTTATGCCTTTACCTATAAAGAGGCACTCACACAACTGTACTGTATTCCTCTAAAGGCGATTATTAACTACCCTTTATGTCCTCAGTAAATAAAGGCCTTCATCAACTGATCTGTAAACTTTAAATGTTGTATCTTCAGTAAGAGTTTTTAGTATTTGATCAATAGCTTGGAAAAAGCATTTTACAAGTCCAAGTTTAATAGTATGGTGACAATTTGAATGTCAACTTCCGAAAGATTTTAAAAGGGGAATTGAAAAACAGATACTACTTTGCTCTTAGAGAGCATAAAATTAAGTATAATCAAATATAAACCAGTACGGTTTTTTTCCCCATAAGGAATAGTATGTAATATAGAAATTCCGCTTTGTAGAAGTTCTGTTGCACATCTGGCTTTGCTGTTGTGTTAAAATTTAGCAATCAAGGTGATTTGAGTATATTCCTCTGAATAAAAAGTATTTGAGGCCACTGACTTACTACTTGATACCAAGTTTCAAATCCAGAGTGTTCCAAGCCCTCTTCAAGTAACAAACAACTAGAACAGCAAGAATTCTACCTTGCATTTTGCTTTCAGGAAAAAAAAAAAAAGTCTTTATAACAAAAAAGTAGATTTATCCTACATGAACTTCTGTCTGTGCTACCACTGTGCCAAGGAGCTGTATTCACAGGCCCAGAGCTCTTTGCCTTGACACCCCCCCAAACGATTGATATCAAAGTAATCAGAGTGGAAGTAGAAATGTCACCTGTGAAGACACACTTGGTCTAATTAACTTCAGGTTCACTCTCTGCCTTCAAGTTCACACTGATAAATTTCTTCTTTCTTAAAAGTCTATATGAAATACAGAAGCGATGTAATAAACTTTTAAACCAATATTCAAGCCTTTGAAATAGTAAGGAAAACTGACACAGGACCAGATTATTGTTTTCAAAGAAAACAAATAGCCTGCAGCATTTAGGAGATGCTGATTTTCCATCTTAGGAACGGCACATTAAACAGCTTGTGTATCATTTCCCATTAATACTCTATATTATATACGTTTGATATTTTGTCACATAAAAATTAAGTCCACTTTTCTGCATATGTTGGATTTTTCGTTATTGTTACGGTGTCAGGGAAGCGGAGAACGCAGTGCTCTGTCCCCACAGCAAGGCCAGCTAAGGGCAAGGAAGGTGCAGAGATGCCCCTGTTAAGCAAAGCCAGCACTGAATTATTTGAGGTCAATTAGTTGAACTGTTTGGGTAAGGAAGGTCCCAGGCTGCAGGAACCTGACTTCAGAAGCATTCCCTTAAGTAATCCTGACCGGATCTATTTTCCACATCTTCAAAATTCCACAGATGAGGTATTTCCCCATTTATTTTAAAAACAACTATGAAGAAACTTTGCAGATACTAGTCTGTATTTTACACAAACGGAAAATAAAAGATTCTAAGTTTGTGATTTTACAGAAAAAGAAGTAAGTATAACTACATAAAAATTGACTTAGGAATTTTAATTTTAAACTTATTTGCATGCAAGAACATTTGTGTTGATAGGTAGGCAATTGTGTTCTTTTTAATTTAATATATTTAAATAAATTTCTATGTACAAAAAAGTACTTGCATACCTTGAAAAAACCCTTTTTAATTCAATTGACCAAGTCACACACAATGCATAGGTAAATTCAGAGACACTGCTGTAACAGACTTCAAACCCGAAGTGTGACAAAGAATAGCTGTAGGCTAGGTGAGTATAGGAATTGTTATTTAAATCACATTTTCTTCCTTTTAAGACATAAACACCACTGCAAGAGACGTTCAGACCTCATTGCTGAGGGACAAAATTTCTAAATAGATGCCATTTTCCATTATTGCGTTCTATACATCCAGCAGTAACTAGGAAAAGCCTCCTGTATCTGAGAAAGCAGAAAAAAAAAACCAACAAACAAAACAAAACAAAAAAACCCAACAAAAACAAACAAACAAAACAAAACAAAAAAACCCAACAAAAACAAACCACCAGCAAACCAGCACTGTCACATCTGTGGAAACTGTAAGCGTATCCATTTACAGTGATGGTTCATCACTTTGGTACACAGCAGCTTTAGGTAGGAAAAAAGGTTCACATAACTTGGTTGCCTTGTTGTTTTCCCTTTTAATTTACAATGTACAGTGGAAATAAATCTTTTATTTTCTCTTTGAAGTTATGAAGGACTCTTTTTCCAAAATAACTTCATCTTCCCATTGTTCAGTGAAGCTGAATATGCTATTTTTGATCCTGTTTTCCTAATGGCTAGATTTTTGTATTCAATATTAAAGTTTAAAAAAAAAATTCCTCAAGTTCTGATTTCTGTAAAAAGAATCATAGAAGGCAAAAACATGTTAAAACAAATTACTTTTTAATGACCTCATGTTCTTGTCTTTGTAGGCTTTCATATCGGACTGGTCAAGATACGGCTAATTGCGACACATGCAGGAACAGTGCATGTATTATCTATAGGTAGGTTATAAATACTAATATTCCCACTTTTTCCTGAGTGAAAGTAATGATTTATTCACTAATGCAAGATAAATTGTTAGCCTTGATTTTTCAATTACACAAAACCAGTTTAAAAACAAAACATAAATTTAACTTCACTAAATTAGTGAAATTCAACAGACACCTGTTTCTAAGTCTAAAATTTTCAGATCAAAAATAGATGATTATGGTCAGTAGTACTGCTGTAGCTCTTGCATGTGAAGTGTTACAAGGTGTGAGCTTCATTTTCACATTGCTAGAAATATTCAGGATTTTCTGTCCAACAAGTAAACATAATTCACATTTATTTTTCTAGCAGTAACAACTAGACTTGGGAAGTAATTTTAAGAGAGGCTGTATAGCTAAGAGAACCAGATACAGATTCAACCCAGACAGTTTTATCAGTAAAATGACATTACTACCCAGGCTTTTATGTACTTTTACATTAGCGAAGAAGTTTTAAAACATGCATGGCAAATACGTCCTGCCCAACACGAACAGCACCACTAACTCCTTTGAATGAGACATTTGCAGTCTTCACGCAACACACAAGTGACAACTTGCTGTATGTGTACAGAGAGCTCCTTTAGCAGACCTGCTGTGGTGTACGGTGCAGTAAGGGGAATACAGGTTTGCTCATTGCTGTCAAACACTAAAAATGACACACTGCTTGAAGGTTTTGTTAAAGATTGTTTGTACCTGCTGTAATCTCTCCTCCAGAAGGAAACATCTGGGGTTTGCTCACTAGAAACAGATCAGGTGCAAAAGGTAAAAGGATACTGCTGCTTATTTCTCCAAAGCAGAGGTTCCCCCTCCTAAAGTTTACCAACCAAGAGACCCATTTTGGCATGTATTATATTATAGTGAAGGAATAACAGACAGGCAGTGGGCATGACATGAAGCCATCATGAGTCTGATGATGTGTTCCATACTGACAACTTAATTGTCCTCCTCCATTAGAGTCTTAAAAAAACAACTGAATATTTTCATGCGTTGCAGCTGAGATGAAAACAAATGCATCTCAGTGTTAAGAGTATTTCAGCAAATCAGGCAGCATAGCACAGATGAAAATGTATAAAGATGACTGTAATTACAGTGAAGATACAAACTATAATGAAGGTACAAATGTTGGCTAGGTCTGAATAGCGTAGATTTCCCCCTTCACCCCTCAATTCTCTACTCGGTCTCTGATTTAGGCAGAAGACCTGGAGCTATTTATACATCAGCTCCTAGCTACCTAGAAGTGAAGGAAAAAAGGATAGAAAACTTCAACTCCATCTTTTCTACTAACCAGCTAACTAGAAAAGGGAATGAAGCTGTCCTGTACAGGGGAAGGCTCCAAGTAATTTATTTATTCGTCCTTTAGAGCAATGCTTAGAAGCATATCAATAACCAAAGCCTACTGCACCTCCCTTTTTCTGAGCTCACCCCTGTGCAATTTCTTGCTCAGGGCAGCCTGGGAAGGCACAATATAGCACATTTCTATCAGGGAAACTATTTTGTTTCATTAGCTAAGAAAATCCAATGGGAATTTTTTTTAAATCCTGATTTCTAGTCAGCAGATTTAAAGTTAAGGAACCTTCCAGTTTCTGCCTCTTACACTCACTGCAAATGAAATTACTCCAGAAAGGCAGATTTCAAGTGTTTCCCTACCGACAGACTAACAGTGCAGCAGGCAGGTCTAGCTCTTCCCTATCTCCCACCAGAATAGCCATTTGGACTGAAGCTATCAATGCTGGGCATTTGCCTAAAGCAATGTTTCCAGGGGAAGTTTTAGCAAAAATCAGCTCATCTTTGTAACAGATTAGGAGAATATATGCTGCAGGCAAGAAGTCTAAAACCAGAAGACAGTGCAGAACAGGGCAACTATGAGAAGACCGAATTACCAAGACAAGATAAGTAGCCAGAAGGGATAAAAGAGAAATTCACTGATAAAGCTACCCCTAAGACAGACTGCCTTGTAGGAGCTTCTGCTCCTCCACAAGTCAAATACTGCAGTACTGAAACCTCTGAAAGAAGTGCAGCAATTCATTAGTAAGGATGCTAAAGCTACTCTTAAATCTAGATGCAATGATACACACCGCACCTTTGCAAAGGGTTTGCATGACAAGTGCTGCATAGAATTACATGATTTCTCTTTAAAACAAAACACCTTTTAGGAACAGAAATTAAAACTCAGATTAAACCATTCAAGATGCACTGAAAACCCCGGTATCTTTGAGGGCACTGGACCCTGCAAGCTGTCAGTAAATGTCAGTGTCAGACCAGCAGGATCATCCTGTCTGACCTACTGCATCTTCCACTGACTGCTTTTACAGCATGCTCCTCTTCTGGACCCTCCTCAGTCTTGAGCTCTTTCACCCAAGTAGTAGATAGGGGAGACTTAAGAAAAATATAAGCAATACCCTTACGGGACAAATCAATAATTTCAAGAGAAAACCTTAACTTTTCCATAATTGACGTTGTTGGGTTTTTTAAAATATGATTCAGTTTTGAACGTAGTAACATTAAAAAATATTCAGAGCTCTTTCAAACCTTTATTTTTAAACTGCAGTGAAAGAGCATCTTAGAGGAAGGATTCAGTTGCCCTACTGACTACCCAACTGCATCCTTAATGTCAGGTATAGCACAGAAGAGATGCTAGAATGCAGAAACAAACAATGTAATTAAATACTTCCCCCTCATGATGACTTTTTAGAATATTAATATGATATAGCATGAAAGCTGGAGACAGTGTAGAAGGTGACAAAAACACCACTGTTGTACTTTAAGGGGGTTTCGCTGCTTTTTGTATCAAAAAAGCTGATACTGTTAGTAAACATTCTAAGAATAGGTTTTTGAGAATACAGTTGTTTTGCATATGAAATCTAATTTTTTTTTGCTAAGATTCCAGATCTAATTTTATATTATTTTGTCTTTATATTGAAAAAAAAATACTACTTATTATTAAAAGAAGAAAGGAAAAGCAAGTTACTTTCTCTTTTGTTTAATAAATAGGAAACTGATCAAACATTAAACACTATTAAAAAGGCAAGGTACCAAAAACTTAAAACTGCTCTCAACACCAATAGGAAAAGAAACACATCTAAATTTGATTCCCCATTTCCCTCAAAATTCTATTTATTTCTGCTATGACAAATACATTCAAGAACTTGACAGAAATTCCAGACACAGGCATCACTAGCACCTTCTTCCCTTGCAGGAGATGAAGCATGTTAACTGCATCCCCCTACTGCAGCACACATCAATTCGCTGCTTCCACTCCCAATTAAATACCTCTTTAGCTGCTAGGCTTTAGAGAGGGAAAGGCTTGAGTCATTACCCCGAAGGCTTCACCAGCCTCCGGTCACTCGGATTCTGGTAAGGACAGGATCAGCTGTGCTGCATCTTACGGAGCTCTGGGCTCAAACACAGCAGAAAAACTTTTACTGGGCAACACCATCGCTCTAGGTTTTAAAGCCTGAGTATAAAGTCCCAGCTACATAGCAATAGTCTGAAACACTCAGTAAGAAGTATTCAGCATCATGTCTTTATAGTAATTTCCAGACAGTATTTAAAATAGTAGTCAAAAAATGTGATTAAGTAGTAAAAATAAACAACCATTTTATCAAATGTTAATCTGTGTCAAATAGTAACCTATTCCATTAGTACCAATATCCCATAATCCAAGGTCACAAACCAGTGTCAAAATCGTCTTCTACAATCTAAAAGACAAATTTACAAACAAACTTTCACATCTGTCTTTTCCAAACTAACATAGATTCACCATTGAAATTTTTAAAGACAGAAGATAAGTTTTATTAGGGTATATTGTCAGGACGAAGCCAACTTAAATACTGAAATTAGCAAAATCTTGCTATTAAGAAGAAATTGCATTGATATGCAGAAACTGTACCAATTCTAAACCACCCAAAAACCCACGTGGACTAAAATCTTCACAGCCTGTTTTATTCTCTAGTTACCTTTTCGTGGAACTACCCTTTCCACTCCTGTTTAAACTACCATCCTGTGTGAATTTTAATCCTTGAACAGAAATCTGTATGAGAAAATGAGTCTTCTGTTTAATATTTTGTGCATTATTCTTAAGCCTTTATCATGAATTATTTCCATGAAGGAGCATCTTGAAGAATTCATGCTAGACTTCCCTTTAGTCACAAAGGTCAGAAGTACTCAAGAGCTGTTACAAGGCTGCTTTAGCTTCAGAAGTAAACTTTTTACTAGATCACATCACTAACCAATCTCTCCATAGGGAGAACACACAAATTAACACTACACTATTGTAATTCTTTGGGGGGAAAATTACTCAAAGCTGTATCAACCACTGAATTGGCTACTTTTCCCTCCTTTGAAATTCTCAATTATGCTGGCTTTCAGTATTCAATTCTGTCTCTGATATTGAAGTTATTCTAACGTGTACTCCAACTATTCAACAGAAAATATATTATTAGAATCTATGAAATGTAACTCTTAATACAAAAGTAGCAAAGTAAACAGATTAAAATCATGGTGATACAAGCTAAGTAGGCAGCACAGAGCCCACATGGAAGTAGTTCACTTGTAAAGGTTAAATACAGTGATAATTATTAAAATTAGTAAATATGGCAATACAAAGTGAAAATGGGGCAAGTAGACATAAAACTCTAAGACAGCCTCAGTATAGCAAAATCAGGTAACTAAATGGTGAAAATACTAATTTTCATCATCTTTTTCTTTCCTACACACTAATTTACATCCTTTCTCATCTTATCTTTAGACTGTAAGATGCTTAGTAGTTAAAATGGATCTTAATGGCTCGCTAACACTGGCAATGGTTTGGATCCTAGACATTTGTGATTTTCAGGTTAAAATAAGAAATAACAAAGATTGCTTAAAAGTGTATTAAGCTAATTTGAGTGATCAGTGCTTATCTGGATCCTGTTCTTCCAAGAGGTGGCATGCACTAATGCCATGTCATCCAATTAACGTGACCCAGGAGACACTAT